CAAAAGTTGGTCCTGCGTTTCAACTGGCTACATCTACTGGACAGCTCCTCAGAACAATGATCTTATTTCCATCACACGTCGTTCTGGCAAGCCTTCCGCTCCTTCCTGTGCTAATTTTCATTGTTGCGGACAACGTCTCAATCCAATGAACATTACCTTTACCAATATGGGCAAACAGTTGTCCGCTGCTCAATGGGCCATTGGTTATTCTTGGGGGGGCAGGGAGTGGAGTGGTGATCATGACAATGGTAACATTTTCTCTATTCGCCTCTCCTTACAGTCCCTGCACTCTCCCCCTGTTGGCCCTAATACAGATATTCAATCTACTTTTCTTCAACCTGATCTACCCTCCAATCCTGATCCCTTAATAGCCCTTGTTAATGCTTCCTCTCTCCTTTTGAAAGCCACTTTAAATAATTCTGCCCAAGCTGACACATGTTGGCTTTGTTTATCTCCGAAACCTCCTTTTTATGAAGCTGTTGGTTCCATCGAACCCATCTTCAACTCCACAAATGATGCCATGTGCAGATGGAACACCACTTCCATCACTATTACTTCAATCACTGGCCATGGTTGTTGTCTAGGGAATATTCCTAGCAATTACTCCCATTATTGTGCTAATGCCACTACAGGTAAATATGCTTGCCAGCTGTGGCTAACCAAGGAAAGGTCTGGTACTGTTGCCACCGCAGGCTACAATCAGGTTTTTACATTAAATCCCACAGGTAATATTTCCCCTAGATTACAAGGACAATTTTTTGTTCCTGGCAACAATTCTATATGGGCTTGTTCCACTGGCGCTACTGCATGCGTCAGTGGTAGCGTCCTTATTAATCAAAAGGCTTTTTGCATCCAGGTTCGACTTGTACCAAAAATAACATATTATTCTCCACAGGAATTTATCTCCTTAATGGAACCTCCTGAATATCATCTCCGTGCTAAACGTGTTGTTACTGCTATAACCTTGTCTGTGTTAATGGGATTGGGGGTTGCAGGTGTTGCTACTGGAACAACTTCCTTAATTATCAATAACCAACAAATTTCTCGCCTTAGCAAAGAGATCGATGAAGATCTCTCCCGCATTGAAACCTCCATCACTGCTTTACAAACGTCTCTTTCATCTCTTGCTGAAGTTGTTTTACAAA